TTACACCTCCGGTCTGTTACATCATACTAAGTCAGCAATAAAGTGATGCAAGAGAGAAAGCGAGAGAGTTGGCAGGTGTGAGAGGAGGCTGTACAGCTAAGCTGAGGGCAGACATTGCATCTTGACCCTCTGTGCTTTGATCTTATCACTTAGCCATGCTTTAACAGTTCTGTACTTCTGTCTGGTGAACCTGTTCCACACAACACACACATGCACAAAACACACTGACAACAACAAAATGGACATGATGTCAAAAATAAAAACATTATTGCTCTATGAAAGAGGAAAGCTTATTTAAGCTTTATATTCTCCAGTTTCTAGAACTGTAAGAATACATTACATTTACTCATTTAGCTGACACTTTTATCCTAATTGACTTACAATTGCTATATATGTCAGAGGTCACGCACCTCTGGAGTAACTAGGGGTTAAATGTCTTCCTCATGGACACATTGGTGGATGTCCAGTGGGAATCGAAACCAGGTCTCCTGCATCAAAGGAATGTGTCTTATCCTCTGATCCATCGCCCTGTGAATACATTTCATACTGTATAAATCTTTAAATTGTATATATCTTTGTATATTCCTTTCTGCCACTTACTGTTTGTTCTATTTATTACCTTGATACATATGTATTACTCTGCACTTCATTGCACTTCCACTGGCTCAGAGTATGGAAAACAACGAAATATGTTACCATAATTATGCAGACAACACACAAATTTACATAACCATATCAACAGGGCACTATAATCCCATACAAGTGCTGAAGAAGTGCATTGAACAATTGGATGTGTCTGAATTGTCTTCAATTAAACAAAGATAAAACTGAAGTTATTGTTTTTGGAGCCAAGGAAGAATGATTAAAAATAAGAGCGCTACCTAACTTGGCAAAGTTAAAAACCACAAACCAAGCCAGAAATCTTGGTGTAGTCATGGACTGGAGCTGAATTTCAACAGCCACATTAAGACAATTACAAAGTCCGCCTACTGTCACCTGAAAATATAGCAAGGATTAAAGGAGTTATGTCTCAGCAGGATCTTGAAAAACTTGTCTGTGCCTTTATCTTCAGTCGACTCCACTACTGTAATGGTGTCTTAACAGGTCTCCCTAAAAAATCTATCAGAAAGCTGCAGCTGATTCTGAACACTGCTGCTCGAGTCCTCAGTTCTGAGGTCTTTACAATGGCTTCCTGTCTGACAAAGAATTTATTTTAAAATACTGCTGTTGGTTTATAAAGCACTGAATGATTTAGGGGCAAAATAACTCCCAAAAAACTGTAGGTCTGCTGCAACTCTCAGTTCTTTTAAATCAAGACTGAAGGCTTTTCTTTTTGCTGCTGCCTCGTATCAAATCAAATTTAAAGCTTCTGATTAATATCTTGTAACTTTTACGCCAATGTTTTATCTTTTTATTTTTTATTTAACTCTTTTTTTAATTGTATTTAAATATATTTTTATATAACCCTATTTTGCTTTTATGTTTTATGTTAAGCACTTTGAATTGCATTGTTGTTGAAATGTGCTAGACAGTTAAATGTTTGCACAGACTAAACTGCATTTTGTCATCTCAGTTCATGCACTGACAATAAAGTTGATCAAATTTAGAGTAATCTAATCTGATCTTAAAAGATACATCAACATTTATCTTTTTAGAAACTGTGTAATTTCTTGGTCTGGCGATTGATACTTTTTTTTATCCATGCAGTGACCAAGGACAACTTAGATGGGACCACTGACATTCGTTTGAAGGACAAGCCTCCTCATATTCTATATTCTTCTAATCAACACCAAATCCCATGAAAACACCAAACAGAGTACTACCTGCACAGCCAAAGCCTGATACAGTAGCTTCTTCTGTAGTAAACAGACATCACTTAGCCACATTGTCAATCTGAATGACTTTGAATAGTTCCCCAGTACAAGTCCAGTCAACCCGGTGCTGTAAATACTCGCTGATGCATCAAATCCATGGCTGAAGATAATCCATGACAAATACTCTATTTACTTCTGTTTGAGTAATGTTTGTTTAAAAGTACTAACTAAACCTACTCAGTTGTTGGTTTAAAAAAACTACAATCCTGACCTGAAGATGTACAGCTTCTGGAGGAAGCAATGGACTTTGGGCTGAGAGCCATTCAGGGCGGTTGAAAAGCACTGAGAGTACAACAATAACAAATATATCTAAAAATCTAGAAATATCAATATAGTTTTAAGCTGCTCACTAAAGGCCAGTTTGCAGCATTTTGTCTGATATGACAGATGTCTGGTCTCCTGCACTTGAGATTTCAGAACACTGCAGAAACCAAACTACAGGTGCATAATTAAACTTCACATGCCCATTAGAACAAAACACAGCCACACTGCACCAATAAGAAGAGCATCAAGTTTGTTGTGGAGTGTGTAGCTTTAGTGTTAGCTGATTGTCATTAAGTGTATAGGTTACTTTGACAACACATTGTCCTTAGAAATGTTTTGTCAAACCCATTCATCCCTCTCCCCGTTTGTTTGCCTCAGTCACCCTGATGCCTTTTGTCTGGGCAGTTAGTAGCCATTCTAAACGCTTATGGGAACAGCGACTCATCAGCCCTCTCACACCTGTCCAACACGGTGTGCGTTTCTTTCTCTGTGAGTGATGTTATCAGCTCCAGTGAACTGTGTGATAAATGGCTTCTTATGCTTACCTCAGCTCAAGCCCTCATGGAAAGCAGCTGACCGGATCCCCTAGGGGTTCTAACCGGTAAAACCGTCTGGGTACACCGCATGGCCGCAGGATGTGTTAACTTTCACGGCTCTGTCCTTTATTTTCTTACAAACTCAAAAGGCTGAGTGGAAAGAGAAAGGAAGAGCGTGAAAAAGCAGGGGGTCCTTGGGACTCACCCAGTTGACAGTTACTGTCTCTCCCTGTAACGACTTATTTATTCAGGGATAATTAATCAGGCGCAGTTTTCTGGCGGTATGATTAATGTGCTTTGTCATCTCTGCTGCAGCAATGAAAATGCTGAAGCCTATGATGCCTTTAGCTTTAGCTGGCTCTGATGTAGCGGCAAAACGGGACGCCCTGTTTAAAGTAGGCCTAGAGCTGAACAGTGAACGTAACTTAGTGACTAATGATGATGGTCCTTTCTGCACGTTGTTTAGCTCTTTCTCACGTTGGGACCGCTGAGGTTGGTCTGCTACTGCCGTTTCAGTAAAGGAATTCACGGTGCCCCTATTTATGTTTCTATTTAATCTCCGATGTAATCTGCAGCATCAACATTTCTCAGACGTTTGTCTACTTTCTAGTTGGCGATAATATCCATCAACATTTTTAATTAAAATAAGCATTTTATGTACTTGTTCAATCCCACAGCAGTTTGGGGTCATTTGATTTCCCTCTTTTCAGTCAGCAGCTTTCACTTCTAGGCCTGTCGAGGTCAACTGTGGCCGGTTAAGGTCTTCTTCTGGTCGTGCTGGTTTTACGACGCCACCTTGTGATTGTTTCTGTTACCACAAGTCCAGCGAATCATTAACATCCGGGTTTTTCTATCGATAGTTTTTTTTGGAAAGCAAGTATGAAACCTATTTTGTTTAGAAGCCTAAAGCATCAAAAATGGATAACCTCTAAATTAATGATACACAGGAAAACTTTTCTAGAATAAAGTAGCTACCTTAAGCAATCAAGTTCTCTATATTAGATGGTAGCCTATAAACATTTTATATTGTAGCGACAGCAATTATCCTATGTAATTAAAGGGTAGCCTTATATTTAAGTCCACATTAGCGCAAACTCCACAGTTATTATTGGCTACCATACTTTTACTATACAACTCAGTATGTGTAGCACACAACACCTGGCTGAAGTCAAAAGAAAGCACAAAATAATAATGCAAGGTAGGCTCTCATTAAGGCGCAGTGATCGCACCTTGTGGGTGGGGTCCTCTCCAGGGAGGAGCGCTTGTTTTGTTCCTTTTCTGTAGCAGGTATGATCAGATGCTTCTTTTGATGTGGACTTCTGATTGGTAGTGTATTTATATTAGGATATCCATACCTAATATATTTCCATCTTTTTTTCAATGGCCGTCACAAAATATAGCTCTCTTGAATCTGAAATTGCAGGTGTTATCTTTAATACTACAGAAGAGGGCCTTCAAAGCTCTTTTTTTTCAGTGTGTAAAATAATAATTCAAATTCAAGGTGGTCCAGAACAGTAAAGATCTCAAATAAACAAAAACTCAGCAAGGTTACATTCACTTTATTAATAAAAAAGCCTTACATTCTTACAAACATAACATTTGACATCATTATGGCAGGTCATCCCACTCTACTGGAGTCTTGGTCGTTATTCCTCTTCGATATGTCTTGGCTGTAGACAATAAAAAATCAGATGTCATTTTTATCTGGAGATCATGCCTATAAGTACATTATCACTAGATTTTCAGCTCTTAACCTGAAAGTACGCAGAAGTTTGAACGTTATTAATTTTTGCATTATTATTTGTTTGACCAGCAGATGTCAGTATAAACCCATATTTCATTTCAGCTGTCGGAACACCTGCTGCCCTACCTTGGATTTTCCACATCTGGTGAGCTTGTTGCCTTTAGAGAAAAAAAAATAGGTTGACTGATTAGTTCTTTCCAAACTTCTGAACTGTTGTGCTTTTCTTACAACAAAGCTGCTTTGATAACAACTGTGATGGAAACAGAGCTGTAAGATGAGTACATTTCAGCTCCCTTTACTCCGTGAAAATGGTTTCAGAAGCACTTTTGTTTGCATTCAGTCAGTCATTCCATCAACATAATGGTAGAATCTCAATCACTTTCCTCAAACACACACACACCTTATTTTTTTACAGATGTTTGTCTTCTGTCTCTGTTTTCACTTTACTTTCCTCTTCAGCTAAAATAAAGTACACATGCACACACACACATGCACACACACACACAAACGCGCGCAAGATGTAGCTGTCGACTTACCTGCCAACAAAATGATGGCAAGGAACACAACGACCCCAGCGAAAGCCAGACCTCCAACACGTAGTTTATGGTAGTCTACAAAATGACATAGGGCATTGTTACCACCCCTTCACTGTCACCTTTGGCAACTTACTGTAACCCCCCCACGCACCTATCACCTTTGCTTTGCTCCACACCTTTTTAACCTCTGTCTCTCTGGTTTTCTATTTATGCGTTTCCTGTTATCGCATGCCCTTATTACTTCTCACGATCTAGCTCCTGCTATTCCTCCAATTTTTTCCTCTATCTCTCTACATGGGCCCACTTTATTTGCACATCTATGTGTGCTGGCAGAAACTCCCTTTATCTTGTGCATGCTTTAACATTCTCTTCTTTTAGAGCTAGTTAAATATTTGAACTATTTAATTTGTGCAGACACACTTCTAAAGTTGTAGTTACTTACCATATACAAAGTCTGCATCAAAGTCAATGTCTGCACCTGGGGATAGACAGGGAATGGACAATCTGTAGGAACCCAGTACAAACATACTGTCCTTCTAGAGAAACATAGCTGGTGCATTCTCAGTCTGACTGCATGCTTATGAGAAATATTGAAAAAGTTTTTTTTTACACTTATCAACCTCAAAAAACTCCTCTCTACCAGGGTACTGTATTAGCTTCCATTTTATGGGTACTCTTCTAACTTACACACATGTACACTACCACTAGAAGTACTTGTGAACATGATCGGCTGTGGCAGAATGCTGAAATGTGAGAAGGTTAATCTGAACTGCGAGGCTGCAGGACTCCCTTTGGGTTTTGGTTTTTGTCAAGTTCTCAGGGGACAGTGTGTACTGTATGACCTATGTTAACCTTTATAGTTGTTCATCATTGCCCAGAAAATTCTAAATGAGCAGTTAATAAGTCATCCTTGCATTGCCCAGGTACATGATTTACATGTTGTTGTTAGTGGTTCTGACTCTGTGACCTTGCAAATATTTTGTCACCTTAAATGGAGTCATGTGGCTCTTTCATACACACCTGTTCGTGGATAAATAGCAGTTCAGCTGCTGCGCGACTTACCTTTAGAAGACATGATGCCTCGTCTCTTTGTGTGTTCAGTTGACAAAACTGGAGGGACACATACAAACAGTTAACAAAAGCTGGTGATAACAGCAGCCGCCACCTGGAGATCCATCCATGTCTGCTGTTTTAAATAATTTAACTAGGAATATCTTGTTTTTATATAATGACAATAAAATTATTCTTGTAACTGAAATTGTGTGGCTTTGGTTTCAATAGTCTTTCCATTTTAATTAGGTTAGAGACTTGTAGAGGCTCATTTAAATAGGCTTATTCACTTTAGATGAAAGGCTCAGAAACTATATGTTCTGACAAAATGCCTTATTGGTTTCCCTACTACAGCCTTAAGAGCAAAGTGAAGCCTTGATCTTCACTGAGAACTTTAAGAGGCTAATGGGGTTATTGATCCCCTTTCCCCACCCTTTCTCCATCTCCATCCTTCCCCCACACATAAACACATAATCAAGCATCTCGTTTGATCTACATCTCCCGACCCATAATCATTAATTTACAAAGATTAACAGACTAAAAAATTCCCCTGCTGTCTCCATTTTCTTCAAGCATGCCACTGTGAATTGTGGACTGCATTGCTTTCATTCATTATGTGCCTGGGCCATTTCAATGCACCACTGATCATAAGGGCATACCAGACAGTTACTCATTAATATATTACAGCTTCAATATTCATTAACCTTGAACCTTGCACAGTCTGATAATGTTATAGATGTGGCAAGAAAGTGTAGTTGTGGTGAAGCCTGCCTAATAATGCAAAATTAATACCCAATTATTTTGGCAGATAACCACACTATCCCTAAACTGCAGCAATGCATCACTGATTTCTTCAGCTGTGGGGCAATTAACAAGAACACTGACAACAGAGTGCTGAATGTCCTCTAAACCCAGTTTTACGACACATATTAATTGGAGCATGTGTGCTTTTAAGTTTTGCCTCATAAAATAATGGAACAACTTAGTTGGCAAAGGTTTAACTTTTCATTGCAAAAATGCCAATAATTATTACTTTACACATAAATACACACTCTAGACATCAACTAACCACTTCAAAACATTAATTAACAAAACATGGTCCTATGATCCCGCTGTAATAGTTTACACTAATATTCAGGCAATCTCTTGATTTTTATAACCTGCAGATTTGATTTAACATTCGTTTAGGAAAGCAAGTTATTACTCACCTTAGCTGCTGAAGGCTCTGTATTAGGTCTGTCCAGGTGTGAGTGTGTACTTGTGTGTGGCCCTGTCTCCCATCCCACAGATACACCCTCTAACACCACCTCTCCACGCCCACAGCCATATTTCAGTCTTGCCGCTTAGTTACATATTTACAGTCTCGTAAAGTTTGTACTCTGATGCCAATAAAGAGTATTTCTGCTAACCTTATCATACCAGAATCATCGCAGAATGAGCAGCATATTACTGGAACCTGTTTTCTGACAGTTTCATAGCCACTTGTAACACTGATTGACACTGATAGAAAATCACCAGATTTTGTTTAAATGCTGTTGGAAGGTTGTTTGTGAAATCTGATGTTCTAATGTAGGCAAATATTTTTAAGCTTACACTACAATACACTCAAATCTGGTTTTCATTTAAATGAACACAAAAAACACATTATCATGTGTGGTCAGACATACTTTTATTCATTTATGTCAAAAGCACAACATGTTGCTACACAACAAGGCCTCATGCGTAGAATAAATAGCATTTATTTGTACAGCGGCCGTCTTTAAAACAGATTGACAGAAGACTGGTGACAGCCTGACCTGGAGTGGGATTCACAACATGGACTGTTCATTTGTTCTCTTGCTATCATTTGGCTTACATTAGGCTACTATTAACGTAGTCTTGCACATAAATAATATCAATTTTAGGTTTCACTTCTTTCAAGGTCATCACTCAAACTTTGTCTCTCTTATTCAGAAATTTACTTCATTTATGGCCACTTAAAGCATTGTAACATTAGAGAGACTGACTTAGCAATTAAATTTAAAAAATCAAAGAAAGATAAAAAAAGAAAGAGATCCAGCGTTCATAGTTTTGCGGCACTAGTGAGTGTGTATGGAGAAACTAATCACAGTCTGCTGGAGACTTGTTAATTCTGGCGGCGCCAGTGACTGTGCAGTGGAGTGGATGTGTGGGGAAGAAGGCAGTGAGACAGCTGATGCAGGAGCTCCTTCCACTATAGATGGTAAAACACTGCGGTGGAGGAGCTCATGCAGATACCTGCAAACTATTCCTGTGCTCGGTCAAAGAGCTGTGGCAGCTGAGATTGTCTTATATAAGGCTCATCACATTTACATGTAGAGATACACATGCACTTGTGATATACACACAATCATACATATATATCGGATATGCACACACATATATACCCACATGTGCACGCAAATACACCCAACCATTCAAACATAGACCTAAATGAAGGATATTTAACTATATATCTTATCTGTAAACCATTTATATTTGTATATATTATCCTTATATATGTATAGATTATATATGCATATGTGTTACAATCCAAATGTGACAAACATTATCCAGGACAATTGACAAAATAAACAACAAATCGACAAATCCTAAAACCTAAGGGCAATAGATAGAAGTTCAAAACGAAGAACAGCGGACCACACAACATTACAAATTCTTCTAGGGCTTCAAAGACAATCTTGTGTCAGAGGTGCTACTGTCTAAGACAAAGAACTATATTAAAAGACAATAGGAAGTCACAGAAAGGCACAGGAACAGACAAGAGCACTGACGGAATGGCACAGTCACAACGGAGCACAACAGGCTAAAGGTTTTTCTTTAGGGCAATATTTATGTACATATTATACCTCTGAACATATACCTCCCCTCTTACCCTGTCATATAGCCAGTCACCATAAGTACCAATTTCTTCACTCTTATTATAGTGGTTTAATATTAAATAAAACTGATCATCATTTCAGAAGGTAGTCCGGTCCGGAAGAAATGCCTCAATTCTCTGCTGGAGTCTCTTTGGCAACCGCTGCAGCTGAAAGAGGTTAAGGACGAGTGATTTAATTCAAGCACAAGTGCAAAACATTAAACTTGCCGAAAGTCATTTCTTCCTAAATGTTTCAGTCCTTCTCTGTCTCCTTTACTCACTCATTCACTTACATGAAATCTCTTGAAGGACTACGCTGAAATTCTGCTACTCACTATGACTACTACGTACTGTGTATTGCTAACTTTTTTATAAAGGATCCTATGAGCTTTGTTTCTTTGTGTCTAGCAATAAGTACTCAAGATTTCAAGGTATTTTATTACTGTTTTTATTTTGTTACCACTTTATACTTCTGCTCAACTGCATTTTAGAGAAGAATATTGTCCTCTTAACTCCATTACTGTAACAGCTACGGTTATAAATTACTTTGTAGCTTAAGATAAAAAACACAGAACCTTATAAATAGTAACAAATTAGCTCCACCTTGACCAGCTTAAAATTTAGAATGATGGGTACATTTTTAATAAGGAATTAATACAAATTACACTGTTTAATTAATTACATATTACTTTTGATTCTACAGTATCTTTTGCTGAGCATACGTTTTAAGTTTACCTAAATAGATTTTTTTTAAAAAGACTTTTACTTGTGGTGGAGTATTTTATTTACTGTGGAATTACTTTTACTTGATCAAAGTATCTGAAAATGTGCAAAATTTCTGTGCAAAATTTTATCTCTGTGCAAAATTTTATCTTGATGGTGACTATTACATCATCAAGAAATGTAGGGACATTTTGATCAGACATTAGCTCTCCAGCTGGTTATTCAGGATAGATGAACCTGGTTTGGGCAAATGACCAGAATGAATGAGCTGTGCATGTGGGAGTCACCAGAGAGAAGCATTCAAGCTATAGATCTTGGGGAGGAAGATGCTTATTCGATTCCACAGAGCAATTAACAATACAATATACTGTGTAAATAAATATACTGTGTGAAGAGACTGATTACATATACAAAAATTGGCACTATACTGTTTATTGATATGCACAGCCAAAAACGTTCTTTCATCTCTGAAAATCTCTTTGAAATAAGCTAAGAGTTGAACATTAACTTATACTGTTGGTTTATAGACTTTCATCCCCCACTTTATTCTACTCTACTATTATATTCAGTTGTTACAGTTTGTTACACAAGTGCCTTCCTTCATGCAACACTTGCTATCTAGACAATATCAAAAACAGTTGGCATGGGCTACACTGTCAGAATATCAAACCCGGGAATCAAACATGGCAGGCAGACATGGTTGTTGTGAAATTGATCTGGTTTGTACATCGTTTCTTTAATTTAAAAGAATGCAACTGTAAAAGAGTCCTTGCTTGGAACTACAATCTAACCTGATTTTGGTGACAATATGTTCTCTGTAATAAAATCTGACAGTACAGTATAACTTGTCTACTCTCTCTCTCTCTCTCTCTCTCTCTCTCTTTCGCTGTCTCACACATACAGTCCCGTTCAACATGTGTAAACACAAATGTCCACCCCCTCCCTCCTGCCCTGTGCTATGGGCACTCCCAAAGGGAAACTCAACTAAGCATGTATGTCAGGGGGTGAGCCAGAGGTTAGAGGAGCTGACAGAGAGTTAGAATGTGCATCTTACCCTTGGAGACAATCAGGTTCTCCTCCTGTTTCTCCTCATCTCCGGGGGCCCTGAAGAGAGGATCCACAGGTTGTCATGGTAACCAAATCATGTTATATGACAAAGATTCCGTACACAACCAAGTCATTGTTTTGTTTTTTCAGTCAGAGAGGGACACTGACATACCTGGCTTTCTGGTTTATACTGCAGCGGCATCTTCGACCTAGAAACAAGAAATCATTAGCTTTGTCAACTGGAGGTCTAATTAGCTAGATATATTGTCTGTGTCATCACCGTGACAATGGTTCACTGTTACCTGATAAAGATATATATATAATTAATACTAATGTACAGTGTGAAAATAAGATGGTGTAGTAACAGTGTGGAAATTCAATAATGATTCATTCATTTATTATTAATTATTATTAATTCGATTATAACGCTCAATTACATTGAGTGCATCTACTGTAAACATAATAAAACTATACACAAGCACACACACAGACAGAGCTTAACTTACTAAGAATGAGAAGAATGCCCAGTGTGAACAGAACCACAGCCAACACCAATCCCCCAATCCTCAGGCTCTCGTAGTCTGCAGAAGAATGACAGAATGCCACACAAGAGACACCAGAGCAGGAGAAAGAAATCAATGTGCCATTTACTGCTAAAAGTTTTCTTATATGTCTCTCTATCTCATCAATGTGCTGATGATGGCCAGTGTTTACAGAAAACACAGATTTTTCAATACTTACCATAAACAAACGGGTTTTCAACTTTCTCCTTGCCATCTTTAAAAGTGTTAAAAAAAAACAAATAAACACACATTTCATATTTTATCAGTGCTGTTCAAACCATAGTTAAAGAAAAAAATCTAATTCTATGTGTGTGTCAGTTGTTAGTTTATCTCCTGTGACATTTTGGCCATTTTTATTTCTTCTTCCTGTGAAATGCTTGGATTTCATCCATTTACATTTCCAAAGAATGTGGTTGAGGCCTAATTTGTTAATTTAACCCTCCTCCTCCTGATCGAGGACATTGGGTGAGGGATGTTTGGGTAGTGAAGAGTTACTTATCCGTATCTCTCTACAGCTCTGTATCCTTTAGCATTCACTAAGCCACTTTTAAGCAGTCCAGTCACATCAGAAGCATGCATTGCTGTCTGTGTTTTTTGATATTCCCACTCTGAGGTGCCAATGTCAAAATGTGGCTTAGATGTTAACCAAACCCTAGGGGGGAAAGCCAATATTCCTATGTCCATTTTTGACGAATCTGCACTTCATGTTTAAAAATGGGTTTTGCAAAGGCTTTTGCAAAATCTTGTCAGGCAATAGGGTTCGAATAAGTACTAGCATTGTTTATACTCAATGCATTAGAATGTCGTACCTTTTATTATGTATTCCCACACACATTATCATCTCTCTTTCCTAACAAACAACCACTTTCATCTCTTCAGCATTGATTTCACTCTATAAAAATCTATTTCTAATCACAGTTGGGTCTGGTGGTTTTTTGACTTAATCCATGCATCTGCCACAGTTCGCTGTAGTGGGGCAATCCATAAGGGTGTGATTTGATCTGGAAACCAATAGAGCCATCTGTGTGGCTGTTAGGACTGTGGAGTGGCCCCATTAGAGATTACATCAAGGGTACTCACCCTGTGCACTTGGATCTGCTACAGCTGAGAGGCACCAAAGACGGGAAGTTGTTTGAGTCAGAGTGCAAAAGGAAAAAGGAGAGGGTAGAAACACAGGAAATTAGGTAGGAGACCACCAGTGAAAAATACTTAAACACTATCTAGCTCTCTATCTATTAATCTATCTATCTACATTTTATCTCGCACACGCTCCAAGTATCACATAAAACAGCAGCACAGCACCACATCATTTATTTCTAGCGTGTGATACGTGTTTAAGTGTCTTTATTCATGCATTATAAACAGACCTAACACACACAGTCAGTGAAAATCCAGTATATGAAGCTCACACACAAAGCCCAACAGTAGTAATAGATGTTTTACCACAAGTCCACACCCAGTGAGTGCCTTTCCATGTAGTCACTCCCTGCCCCAACACTGCCTCCCTATGGACAACTAGTGTGTGCATGCATATGTGTTTGTGTGCATCGAGTGTGTTTCATGAGTACGAGGGGCACTTACCAGCCACACACACCAGGAGTGAAGAGAGAAAGAGCAAAATAGTTTCCATGGCAACTGTTTTCATAGAGTAATACAGAGGGAGGGAGAGAGAGAATGAAAGAAAGAAAAAAAATACAGTGAGTGAGGTTTGTTTTAGTAAGCTAAGCTACACCAGCACATATATGCCCCTGCAATTTGGGACACATTCTGGTGGCCCTGGTGTGTTTTAGTTGCATGGCTCCAGGGGTGGCAATGCCAATCTGTGAATCAGTCAGTGGGTCATTTTGCTCCAAACTGAAGTTAAGAGAGATTTAAACATCTTTTGCATGGATTTCCATGAAATTTTGTGCAGACATTTGTGTACCCAGAATGGACAAATGAATCTTAATAACTTTCATGATAGACTGTATTTACATGGGGCTTCCTAGTCATCTGACCACTCAAAGCACTTTATACTACATGTTATTCACACAAGTTTATACACAAATGCTGACCCTATCCATCCTCTGACATTTCTGTTTTTTAATGACATGTCTTGACAGCTATTAGATAGACTGCCATGAAAGTCCATATTGTATATCTATGGTTCCCACATGATGAGCCCAGTGCTTTAGTGATGACCTTACTTTTCCTCTCACACCACCATAAGGATGACATTTGTGTTTTTAAATTATATCCAGCTATTGGATGGATTGCTGTCAAAATTTGTTACACACATTTATGTTCCCCTCAAAACCCTTTGGCAGTCCCTTTACTTTTCCAACACCATCATCAAGTCAGATTTAAAACGTGTCCAATACTTTCTTACTAAATATCTGCAAAATGAATGACATTCAGCTGTAATTTGTGTTTGGTTCTAATTAAGAAATGTTAGCATGCCAACACACTAAACTGAGGGCGTACTCACACTGGGCCCGGTTGCCTTGTACCGTGCCTGAGCACGATTGCCCCCCCTCCCCCGCTGGCCTGTGCTCACACTGCGCCTAATGATCCGAGCTGGAGCACGTTTATGTCATTACTGGGTCATTGTTTCCCATACATTTATTTGTTTGTGGAGGCCCGCCACAGTATCAGTGCCAACCGCCATATATTGATATGAGATTTAAAATAGTAGTTGACTGAAGAGTGCTGCACATCACCTTCTCTCTCTCTCTCTCTCTCTCTCTCTCTCTCTCTATCTCATGAACACCACTGCACAAATCTGAACAACACAACTGTCAATGTCAGACACCCACATTAAAAAAGTTATTAGCCAGCATGCAAGGAGCCTAGCTGATAAGGAGATCTATGTTAACGTTAGATCACAGCTGGGTTTACAAGGTAAGCACACTGTACATAGCTGGAAGTCAATATCATTCTGTCATTCTGTGGGAAACATTGCACTCATTTGAAAAAAAAAGTGGTCTCTCTCACACAGCACAGTGTCGGGGTTAGCGATCAGAGCAGATGCTTACCGTGCCCCGGCCCGGGACGGATCGCCTAGTGTGAGTACACCCTAGATGCTGAAAATGGTCAACACTACAACTACTAAAAATCAGCATGGTAATATTGTCATTGTGAACATGTTAGCATTCTGACTTTAACATTTAGCTCAAAGCACCACTGAGCCAAAGTAGAGTTTTGTTTTAATCAATCATTTTAATAAAATAATGGCCCTTACAATTGTACAAATGCAGACCTAATGATTGGTCTAATTTCTCATCAAATCCTCCAGGGCTAACAAAGTGTCTGGTAACTTTCCGAAACCTACAGTCCAACATTCACACCCACTTCACGCCTGTGCAGATGAAAGAAAGTAATATTGGATTTAACTTCTTTCTCTAGATCTCTTCTACTCATTTGTTGCAGCCATTTGTGGCATGTTTCATATGAACAACCAAGTGCAACACTATGAATACCTTCCAGGAGAGAGTCTGAAAACGTGCCCCATTATCCTCATTTTGAAATGCCACCCTTCTCTTTTACGGCTGGCTTTTGACTCTGCCTTCAAGTGTGCCCGGAGTTATAGTCCATACGTGGTTGGACAACACACCATACGAACTAGTTCTAATTCAGAATACCATGGCCCTAACATGGAGTATTGAGAGTTCAATATAGACAAATACAGATCAACAAGATCTGAACGCAACACATTTGATAAGGCATGGCAAAGCGCCACATTGATAGTATAGAAACTGACATATCTGCCCATCTGACTGTTTGTCTGTCTTTGACTGTATCAGTGGTTGAGGATATAGTGCAATTAAATGAACATTATAGTCATTAGCAGAGGTACCGACTGTAGCATTGCTGCTCAGTTGTATGTTGGTCGTCTGTATATTTGATTTGTGAGCTCTCATACAGACCTGAGCAACACACTGGTAGCTAGGAAATTTATGAAATAATGTGATACAAGACGACAACTAAGGAACATAATGGTTTATGGCATTCAGTAGATTAATGGTGACTACTCTTGACATGAAGATTGACCCTTTTGACCTTGGATAGTAAAAATATTTTGTTTAATAGTTGACGAGAAATAACCATTTTCTGTGTATGTGTTTCAGTTTGAGTGGATGTGCATTGATTTTTGCACAAACATTTGTTGGGGGACATTTTTGTACTTCAAGAAGTAGCACATTGAGGAAACAGAGCTTTCTTCTGTTAATAAACAAGTATGATAAGAAGCCTGCTTGTTTCTGGGTTTCAATGATTCTTCTCAATATATGCATAAGATACTACTAAAACAGTAAAGTAATTAAACTTTTATTCATACTATAGAGACAAAAGAATAGTTCTTCTTCTAGTGAGGATTTTCATTTTAGTTGTGACTAAAGTCTTTTCTCAAAGTCTTTTAAAGCCTCACAGACTACCTGTTTCTAAATCTAAAATGTTGTTCATTCAGAGTGGCACTGTTAGCTAACCTAGATATGAATGATGAGATAAGACAATTTAGTTTCCAAGGGCGATATCTGTCACATCTGCACATCTTGAAAGAGATGTCTTTTTTTCACATCAGAGGTGATTGATGTCTGGCCCCCAACTGTACACCACTCACATTCAGTTCAGACAGATTAATAACCACTGATTCAGCTCAAATACAGCAAGTGGGTGCAGATGGGAAAAGTATTAACACTAAGGCAGGTCTGCCCTTTGTAAGGCAACATATTGCCACCACCATTAGAGACACCATTTGCTGTCAGTTTTACAAGATCCTTTCAGTAATACAACAAGATATTTTCACATATCTAGTCTACCTATATTTTCAGTATGTATCCACCACCATCACCCTGCCACTTCCGCCTGGTCCAGATAAGTTTTTATCAGAGTCACAACTGATTAACATATTTGTTAGTTGTGTCCCAAGCATCAAATCAAAATTAAACCATTTTAAACCAACTACTGTGGATTTTTCTAGCCGATGTAGGCTACAATCTCTCTATCTTCTTAACACAAATTCAAAGTTTTTAGTTATTTATTTAGTAAAGCATACCAGCATATCATGTTACAACGCGAAAAGTTTGTCTTATGAAATGTTGATTTTTTGAAATAATGAAAAGGTTTTGTGGTGTAACAAGATAAAGTGGCTTGTCGTTATTGCAAGAAATGTTGTAAAAACAGAATAATTTGGTATCAATATATCCACGAGAAAATGGCAAAATAACATGAAAAATATCTTGTTTTAATGTGCGAATGATTTCGTGAAAACAAATTTGTTTTAAGCGCAAGTAGTTTTTGGCAGCAGCAACACCGTAACCAATTCACAAAATGCAATTTAGTCTGGAACCTTCAATTTTGATTTCCAAGTGCGGACCAAAACGCTTACAGTAACGAAACGTGATTTAGTGTTGAACGATGACAAATGTTAACAAACTACAGCATGCAGAGATGAGCTGTGATGGTGTACCATCGAGTGAGCGTTGTCTGCAGCCGTTTTTGCCTTCAAAATCTAGAGGTCCAGTTCGTTGAATACTGACACGATAGTGGATACAACAGAACATTCCACATCAGCTGCAGCCATCTTGGTTGTTTATGAAAATGTCTCAACAGCGCTCCACTGTACAGTCACCGTATCAAACCTGCCCCATATTAGATCAACGTTTGTGATTGGCCTGTGGTTGGCTGGAAATAGGAGTCTGAATAGGAGGGGGACCAGACGCATCTGCCAGGGGAAATAAAACATAAGCTCACAGATTCGGCTGGTTCCCAGGCTATCAATACCCTGCCATACCATTTGAAATTTAAATCTACAATATAAAATGTTTCTCTTCACCACTTAATATCATCCTCTGCTACCTTCTTTAAAGTGGAAAACATTTTAAAACACTATAATTTGTCTTTCACAGAGCATTCATTACAGTTTGGGCGAACATTCAATTAGCAGGCCATGTATGTTTATTCTATCAAACAGTACACATAATTAAATAAACATAGATTTATTAGACTTATTTTTGCTTACAATTCACAAGAATCTGTAGAAAGCTGAAAGACAAAAATTTCACTGACTGCCTCCCTTGCATAATTAGTAGACTTAGTTTGTGCTATGCATCCATGTCTGACACCTTGTTTCACACGTATTTTTTATATCTTTAAGGGTTCATATTTAGATATATATAATATATGCTTTACTGTGGCTAAAAACTCACATTACTGAAGAGCTGTTTACCATACTGTTAGGTACATCTGAACATCATGAGACACCTTGATCTCCTCTCTTTGATAGCAATAGTAGTCTCCCTTAACCTTTTTCTTTCTGCTCTTAACCCTCCTCCATCTGATTTCAACAATCACATGCCACCCAACTGGTGTGAAAAGCTCTCTGTATATATCTGAGAGGGTTTGGGATAAAAGGGAAAGGTTATAAATCTAACTTGAAATATGTAGACTGCTAGGATTATCACACTCTCACTTCTATCACTGGTTTCAATGAGAAACAAAAAGAGTAAAAAGCTTTACACTTATAACTGAAAACTTAATTTGGAAATATACATTTTGCACGAGGCAGCTACTTAGCCAATCACAAAATGTTACTAAATAAAATTCTCCAGCCCCATAGTTTGTGTTCAGCTGGACTCTCTCATGTCCTGGAAGTATAAAGAAAGGTCTGTCAGTGTGAGACTACTGGAAAGGCAGAATGTTGGAGGGAAACATAAGGTTTAGCTGGGGGACGGAGAGGTGTCTGGTGCACTATCGTGTCTCTTCTCACTAAGCAACTTGTGTCTTGATGTTTAGGGTTAAGTGGCCCATTGGACAACCTCCACTGATTCTGGAGGACTTAAAGATGGTCTTGATTAAAGGCCAAGCAATCAGTCAACTCAAAATACTAAATGTCCAACACCTGTCCCACTTTATAAAGACAAAGGAAGCAGACCTTAATGCAATATAAACTCAATTTGAAAGAAGTTCTGCATTTATTATTGTCAGTAATTATTGCAGTTTTCATTTTAGAAGTTATTGCATTGCAGAGAATTGCATCTTACTTGACAACGGATTACCTTGTGATACATTAGGTCAGTGGTCTATCTACCGTGATTTTACACTATTTATAGGCCAAATTTGATTGTGAAAGTTACCAATGACCAATAAAAAATTTTGGCCTATAGTGATCATTTTACATACAGTAAACCCAAACTTTTTATTATAAATTCTTTGAATTTTCTGTTTTTCTTTGTTGAGAAAAAAAAGTGTTCTCTAATTGACAAACTATGTAATGGTGACACTGTTGCTAAATGCTTTCACATATTTGGCAATTCTGTTTTTTCCTAAACACTAGTTACTACCGGATTATTTGATCTAACACTGTTTAATTTTATTTTTTTAAAACCTACTTTTCTGACCAATGTGTTTGACCCTCACATACATAAAGTAAGTGATGGGAGATGGGTGAGATGAAGAATATCACTTTTGTTAGCGCACGATATGAATCTCTTCTGAGGAGGAGTATTTTTAACCATTAGTAGGTCACTGTCACATGCTTGTCCCACGAGAATCCTTTATGGTGTTTGCCAGCAAATGTAATGTATCATGCAGCTTTTCAGCAACAGCCTTTCTCTCCCTAGTTAAGATACATGACACATGAGCAATTTCCTTAACCTACCTTATCTGCACTATTGTTTAGCAATATCAAGTTTCAGTGCCAGACTCCCCTTTGTCTGAGAGGAAAAAACATGAAAAGGGAAGGCAAGGCGACTGTATCTGTTTGGGGAGGACAATGAAATAGCAGGCCGGGAGGTGGTTTTCTGTAATGTGGGGACAAGGAAAGGGCAGGCGGAAAGACAGAGAGAATGGGAGACGAGCAGACAGGGACAGACATTATCTGACAAGAGAGTACTGGCGAATGGCATGCAGAGGAGACGCTGTCTGTGGAGACAGGACAGGGGAAGGGCAGTCTGTTGTATGATAGTGACATTTCCAGTATAAAATATACTGAGAATTAAGAAAGAAAGGTCAGGAAATGTGGTGAGGGAGAGGAAGAAACAGGAAGGCTATCAAAGAGACATAACTCAAAGCAATGGGAGCAGTGGGACGATAAAGTAGAGTAGGGCAACAGAGTGCTCGTCAGTCACAGAGAAAAATAATGATCTAACCTTTGACATCATGCTATTTGGCTAATGTGAGTCTCGCACAAGCTTAAGATCAGCATGATACAAACGTTTGTAACACAGACATCTAAAATTACTGTTGATGGAAAACGTGGACAAGGTCATGGAAGAAAAAATATATTCAAATGACTAAGTAGGTCAACAGTGTCCATTGTGTGTGTGTTTTTACATGAGACCACACACCCCCAACCCCTGAAATCATGTGCTCATGGTCATATCATTTAGTGTGTCCCTCTTTAAATACAAGGTAGCCAACCAAACCTAAGTTTGTTTGGCACCATTTCACTCTCTGCATATATGTGGGTGTGCAGGTTTCTGAAAAGACACCCGTTTGGTCACCAGAGACCCTGAGGATTTAAGTAGCTATTTAAATAAATTAAATATGAAAAGTCCCAGTGTCATTTAAAAAGGCACGTCTTCTTTTTCAACGTTAAGCTAAATACACACAACAAGTCCCCATAAGCTTTGTAAAAAATAAATAAGACAACTTGTCTACCTATCTCTGCCATCTTAATGATGTTACATCACCATGACAACAATGTGCGTCGTTAAATAGTGTCCAGTTATCTCCATGGTAACTGTCTAACTGAAATTTCTGGCGCCTAACAAGAAATGGGTTTAGATGACACATATCGTAGGCTATCATATCTGATCAGTGTACACATCAGCAAGAGAGAGGGGTGTGGCACGCAGCTTCAAAGTCAGAATCAGTGTTCTGGAATTATCGGCACACATCCATTTATAAAGAAACACGTCAGCTATAGGCGATAGGCTACTAACTGTAAGTCCAGCGGTTTTTGTTAGTTAACGCACAATAACGCACTGATAATCCCTCCTTTGTGATGTCAACGCAAAGCCTATAGGCTACATGGCAGGTTTCACTGACAGACGCACAATAAACATTTGGCACAATATCAGAGTCCGATGTGTGACGTCTGCGCATACATCTACCTTTGCGTCCCTGAACCTGTGGATCATCTGATGGAGAAAAAAACCGAGCCATCACCCGCCTTGTGATTTTTCTTTTGAGCGAAAGCAGCTAACCGTTAATAATAACAGCACGGACATCATGCACGACATCTGATATTTGGTTTTCAACTTACTGTTACAAGGCTTAAGATAACAGCCGCCTCAGTGGATTGGTCACGCTCGTTCAAAGGCTTTGATCCGCAGGCTTTTTGCAAGTATTTTTTTGCCGCGCAACCAGTGAAGGTTATAGTGATCAGTGCCAGTAGACACACCCTCATTCAGTGAACAAACAACAAGGTGCGCTGTAAATGGCATTTCTGCAAGTAAATGAGACCTCATCCAGCAGTGTGTAAATTCACTGAAAATCCTATTATAGGATTTATTTAAATTGGACTCAAAACAATCTACTGGTATCAAACGATAAAATTTGAGTTCCTTTCTGATCCATCTCTTATGCTTATTATGACCCCTTCGGACTCTCATTTTATATTTTTTAAAATAACAATAACACCAGCTAAGACATCAAAATATGTGCGCTTATCAACTTACCTCTTGTTTCTCGAGTGGAACGCTGGCCAACAAACTGATATCCACCCACAGAAAATCAATCAGCTTGTCTCACAAGGCTTTTGTTCCAAATATTCTCATCTGTCAATATGTGCACACTGCTCACATCTAAATATCCACTTGTCCTGAAAAAAAAATGTGATGGATAACAATGTGACTCCTGGAGTGACTGCTTATTCAGTGCGTTGAACGCTCTCTCTCTCTCTCTCTCTCTCTCTCTCTCTCTCTTTCACACACACACAACCCCCCCCCCACACACACACACACACCTATAGACCCCTAGCATATGGAAAGGCTATTACTATTATATGATTAATCAACTCCATAATAACGTTTTTTCCTTGGTATTTAGTAAATTTATTTATGTATAATGCAGTGATCCAACACATTAAACAAATAGAAAATTATGTTAGACAAAATACCCAATGTGCATAAACATGACACAGAGAACACGCACATTGACATCCAAAGTACAGTTTCTGGAAAATTTCACAGTGTGAGTATAAGGGGAGGTTCAGGTGAACAGATATGCAAAGTGCCAGCTCAGTAATGGAGTCATGGTTCAAAATGCTTTCTTTCTTCACAAAGTAAGTGAATAGAAAAAGTGTCCTTTTAATTTTACTATGGTAATAAAAATAAACACCTGAGATGTGTCCCTGAGAAAAAACACACCTCTACAATCAAACATTATTTTCAAAAAGAAGGCCTATAATTCGCAAACCAATTAAGGAGACCACAGTGGAGTGGACTGTGTTTCACTGGCCCAGAACATGTGATATGAGAGGGGCCAACCATCATTGAAGCTACTTTAACATGTAGATAAAGATATAGCTACTTATGTTTAACTTGTGACTGAGACACAAAAAGACAGAGAAATAAAATCAAGAATGCAAGACTGAAGTCAGTGCATTGATCACTGTATATTCATAATCTGGTTCAGGTTATACACCTAACAGTCACATGACAGATGATGAATTTCTATGGAGCAACACCAACACCAAGACAGAAGTCCTGAGTTCTTCATGCTACTACTCCCCAAAACCAGTGTGCAACCTCATCATACTGTCTTTCCATCAGTATCTCCTCATCAATTCATTCTTCTACGTGTAAATCCATCCATCTCTCTGAGACGACTTCATAGTTCATTGGGTAAAAGGGAAAGTAGGTCGCTGGCAGGAGACAAAGGGACATCACAGCCTCATTTGCTGTAGGAGGCACAGGAAGAGTTAAGATTGAGAAAACCTGTGACCTACAGTAAGTCTAAATGCATTCTAGTCATTTGAATGTCAAACATGCTCTCCTACACTATTCATAAATGTTTTGCTAGATCAGTTTTTACCTGCATTTTGCTGTATATCCAGGGCAGCACACTGGTGACTTTGGTGTAAACGCCAGGCTTGTTTCTTTCACCACAGCCAGCACCCCAGCTGGTGAGCCCCGCCAGGTACCAACGGTTCTCTCCCTGACACACCAGAGGTCCACCACTGTCACCCTGGAAAGTGCAGTTCGTGTTAAGTTAACATAAGGTTGTACTCTGAAGTTTGTAGGATTTTAAAGGCACTGGTCATCTGATTAGTGTAAACCTGTCTGTTGATATTCACTGCTCACCTGACAGGAGTCTTTTCCCCCTTTCAGGTCCCCAGCACAGAGCATGTTCTTGTTCACGGCGCCTCCATACACACTGGGGTTGTTACACGCTTGTGTACTAATGATGTCCACAGTCACTTCCATCAGATCTCTGGAGACAGTGCCTGTATTGGAGGAAACAATATGGACATTAAAAAATGTCAAAATAGTGGCCAAATAATTAGCTGACTGATAAACATATGCACTTCATGGTAACAGCTAGTCCCACGTCATTTGTCTGTTTGAAAGTCACTGTGCCCCTGCCCGTCAGCCATTACTATTGAGTTTTATGTCCGTCTTCTTCATTCACTATCAACCTCAGTATAGAGAGGACAGACATTAGTCACTCTCTATTAAGTCATCCATGTTCATTTAGGGGTTCCAGACTTTCTTTGTTGTGTGTGGCCTGCCTGCACTTCTTCTGATGACTATCTGCATGCTTTTTGATTTCTGCCTGACTGGCCTAGCTCTCTGGATGTGTTGCTTTTGTTTTAGTCCTGCCTTCTGACCTAATAAATACCACTTTGTGAGCCAGTGTTACATGCATTTATGTATTCATTATTGTATCATGTAGTTTAATGGCAATTGATAAAGTGTATTACCCCTGGTATGCTTAAAACGTAATTTCCACTGCTCTGATCTGGTGAAATTTTACTTGTTCTTACTCTATATGTATGGACCTTACTATGTCTGTTTGCTTGATTTCATGAGGAACACTATTTTTATAGGGTTACCTTAATCTTTTTCAGTTATGTTGGAGTTCTCTGGTCAAAATCGTAACCATACATATTGCAGTCGGTATGTGGGTAAACGACAATTTTATATTCTTAGACCAAAGACTAACCTTTTAAAACATACAGTTACGTACTGGGCTTCTGTAGAATGGAAAAAGTTATCAAACAGTACTACATTAAGAAATAAATACAGATGTACCTAAAGCAGGCCATATGGCTGAATCTGCATGCCTGTCTGCTACAATTAAAGCTAATGGGAATCCAATTATATAAAACCTAAATATAGTATATATGTAATTTATATTTTTACTATAGGCTACTGTAGGCGGCTTATATCTCAGCTTACCTGATCCTGCCTCAGTGGTGCCAAAACCTGTGGTGCAGCATTTGGCTCCTTGGGAAAATTGCTGGTCAAAAGCTGGCAGACAAGCTGGCTGAACTTTATCTGGATAACACAAAAAATTGATTTAACTTTCGTAAACACAACGGCAACCTTGTGCACTCAAAAGGATAGTAGTGTAGACAGATACACACACACACAGCCACACAAACACATTGGTCTGGGCAAATAAGATTACCAGTATGACTGTGGACCTTCAAAGCTCAAACTCAACAGTGAGAGAAAATCATTTCCATGGTAGTCACTGTGCTGTGTATTTGCTTTACCCTATTGTTATTTTCCTGCAGCCGCAGAGCAAAAATAATTCTGGAAGATCATAGAAATTTAGCAACTTGTTCAAGGACATTTCAGCTGCAGAGTGAATTTTCATTGACATGGGCTTTTGAACCCAGGTCAGACAGCAGAAGGACTGTCTTTCAAGCCATTCAGTCACCCGCCTTGCCACACGACATACTGCTTATGAACACATACTCCCTCCCAACATGAACAGCTTTCTGACTTTTATGAGCAATTGTATTGAAACCCTTTTCCTGACTAAGAGTCAGACTTCCACCATGAATGTAGGATGAACATAAACATCATTTCAATTGAGTGATGATGTGACTGACCATTGAAAAGAACTGGTGACGTAAGTTGGAGCAGAGCTATGTCTTGGTCATTAGTTTTGCTGTCATAGTTCTCGTTCAGTAGGATATTCTTAACCAGGTAGGGCTGAGGTAGTCTGTCCAGAGACACCACTCCACCATACACTTTCCAGTTGTCCACCAAGAGAATTAAGGAGTTGCTTCTGTGACATAGAAAGAGACTGTTCAGTTGAAAGCAATCAACACATACTGATTTGGCATTGGTGCTTATGTTTTCAGCATACAGGACTTTGAATCATAGTATTGTAACTTTGAAATGTTTCAGTTCAGCTTTGTTGACTGCAGCTGAACATTATACATTTCTACAATTACAATGTTTGAATTATGTGCCAAGAATAAAGTTTATTGCGTAAGCGAAAAAACAGTGAGCACACATTTTCTGTGTCAGGTCACCTTGGGAAGCAGTGGGCAGCAGTCAGCACAAAATCAGGAGAGATCAGAACTCCTCCACAGACGTGGTATCCTCTGAAGTGGAGCGACAACTGCCATGGCCACTGACCTGTCTTTGCTGTGCTGCCCCCAACAATCCGGGCTAAAGACTGCTGACGACCGCAGTCTGGGAATGGAAGACAATGTGAGATACTGTCAACAAACCAAAGAAACAGCTAAAAGATCCCTTGGTAGTGCATAGAATGATCATATTGTGTTACCGCTTTATAAAACTGCATAAGACAAAGGATTACAGAGACTGGAAAGTTTAATTGGCATTAAAGGAATCATTCTAAGCTGGTTTAATTCCTATTTATCAGATCAACCTCAGTTTGTACATGTTAATGATGAATCCTCCATGCAAGCCAAAGTTTGTCCCGGAGTTCCACAAGGTTGTGTGCTTGGACCAATCCTATTTACTTTATATATATTTCCTTTTGGCAATATTATCAAGAAACACTCCATCAACTTTCAAAGTTATGCAGATGATACTCAATTATGTCTATTGATCAAGTCAGATGAAACCTATCAGTCAGCCAAACTTAAAGCAGCCTTAAGGATGTAAAAACCTGTATTACCTGCAATTTTCAAAAACTGAAGTTATTAACACATCCAAGATGCATTAACTAAAGATAGAGTTACTCTGAATGTCATCACCCTGACCTTCAGCACGACCTGAGGAATCTCGCCGTTATCTTTGATTAGGACATGTCCTTTAACTCCCACATTAAACAAACTTGAAGGACCTCCTTTTTTCACCTGCGTAACATTGCAAAAATCAGGTATATCTTTTCTCAAAATGATGCGGAAAAAAACAGTCCATGCGTTTGTTACTTCTAAGCTGGATTACTGCAATTCTTTATTATCAGGCCGTTCAAATGTCCCTTAAGACTCTTCAGTTGATCCAGAATGATGCAGCACATAAAACTTGGTTGGTTTTATCATTAGTTATGTGTGGATAGATACTAAAGCATTGATATTTCTGATCCAAACTTTTCCTGCTCCAGGATCACTTGTCATATAAAATCATCGATATCTAAACTCAGGAACTTCTTCTCCTTCTGCCTGTCAAAGTCATGTGTGTACAACGGCTCTGAGATGTAACTTATTTAAAGTGAGCCACTGCAGCCCTTTACATTTCCCACAAAGACTAAATACTGGCTGACTGTAAAAGGAGTCATGTCTGGCTGTGTTTTAGCTGTAAAGATAATAATGACGCTGTGTGTGATGTGTGTGCAACGAAGGTGAACTACTGAGGCAACACCACATACCTCGCTAAACATCAAATATTAAGTCACAGGAATGAGTATGATGATGTTGTTAAAAGTATTGTTATCGACAGCGGCAATAGCACCAGTCTGGGTATTGCTTGGATCATCAGGTAAGTGGTATCGCACATCCCTATTTATCGTTGTTAAAATTCAAGCTTATGAATCCAACTCTCACATAATGTGGTCTGTAGAAAGGTTCTCTGAATTTAATTCAGATTTAAGATTCAAAGAAGGCAAGTGCTGATTTCAGAGAATTATACTACAGCAAGGTCAAGTGGAAAATGGCTGGATGTGCAATCATATGAGACAGAGACAGAAAAAGAGAGAGAGAGAGATTGTGTAACTGTGTGTGACACATCACTTTAGTAACAGATGGAGGCTCCTTACCTGTACACTGCAGGAAGACAGTCTCCTGGCCTGTACAGGAAGAACTGCATTACGCAACAATGAGAAAAACGTCAGTTAACATGTAATAATAAGTAAATATAGTAAACCAACATGCTTTTTGTGGTTTAATAAGCCAATAAAAGCAGAAACTATTTTAACTGCTTCCACATATATGGTTAGATTTCACATGATGAGACAGCTTTCATAATAAACTGAGATAAGAAGGATCATAGATTAAGTCTGAGCTGTGTATGAAACAAGTCGGGAAAAAGATTAGATTGCATACTTGACTTTTACCAGACCCTGGATAGGCAAAGACGATCTTCTAGTCAATGTTAAACCAGTGGACTCTTGGGATTTAATGGGTTTGGTGACATAGGACCTGGAGACAGAGAAAAGGGCGGTTCAGACGGCTGAAGAGATAAACTTGCACATATAGACAATTTTGTTGAAAAACAACACCTGATTGGATCTAAAAACTCATTCTAGTTCTGTCACACTGAGACACCCCAGAGAGACCTGTGGAGAATCAATTCAACGCTAAACACACAGCAGCAGGTGAGGAGAAATTAGATGGAGCTCGGTGGCTAAATTACAGGTTGGAGATATAAGCCCACATGTTCGCTAGCTGCTGTTGAAATTGGGTCTGGCAAAAGGACCAGCTAAATTACGCCTTCATGAAGCCTGAGCTGCCTCTGAATGATGATGGGGAATAGTAATATTTTCATGCTGGAGTGCTAATCCAAAATGTTTTTCAGCATTCAGCACTACTGCTCTGATACTATTTTATGTGTGTTGTTTAGCACACTTTAGGTTAGGTTAGCTAACAACAAAATTATAGTTGAGTTAAAGAGATGATTCTTTACTTTCTGAATCCTAGCTGAGCACAGGTTTGGTTGGCGTAGCTGTCGTCCCAGCCCTTGTAGCACACTGGTAGGAAGTGACCATCTTGAGATGACTTAACTTGCAGACCGCCATCCTCACCAAACCTCACTGCGGGAGACATGGAGGGAGACAAAAGACAGCAGGCAACTTAGACAGCATCTCTTCGGTGGGTTATGCTTAACACTATGTGACAGTGTGGAGTCTTTGGCTTGTGTGCAACTGCAAAACAATTACAGTGATCAAACATGAAATAAATTGGCTTCTCTTGGCAAGCCTCGACAAATGCAAGAGTGCTGCTGTATGCAGTTTCTTTCTTCTTTCTTCCCTGATAGTGAAGTCCAAAATTTTCACAAAATTAAATGATGTGCTGTCTACTGGAATGCACTTTGTACTTCTTGCTTTAAACGTGTTACATAAATAAAAATGTTTATGTGTGTAAAATAAAAAGATGTTTTATTGACATTTAATGCATTTGCCTGTGGTAGAATATTGTCCCCATTACCAAACCTATGTATGAGAAGTGAACACAAAGATCCTCTAGACTTTTGGGGGTTTCCTTTTGGCTATCAGCTATCTGGCCATCCATCTTCACCATCTGTCACTGTATTTCTCTGGTTCTGGTAAGGTCTATGTGTGTGTGCATGTGCCCACTCACCACAATTTGTTTCGTCAGTGCCCAGTTGGCAGTCTCTTATCCCATCACATTGGACAGTATTGTTGGGGCAGGTGTCAAACTTTGGCAAAGACAGAATTTCATATCTGTGATCATCGTCATCATCGTCGTCATCGACCGTTACTGTTGCCAACCGGGTGCTATAGCGAACTGTCGTTGGGGTAGAGTATAGGTAGTAATGAGTGTGGGTAAGTAGTGGTTGTTTATTTCCAGCTTACAATCCTCTGTAAAAGCATACCTCATTATCAAAAAACAAACACATCTACTGTCATCAGTACCACAACAACCACAACACTTACATTTCATGCAGTTAGTAAAATAAATTACAGCAGCAAATGAATATTAATGACAATGCCCAGTGATCTGTATGAATAAACACATATACCTCCAAGCCAGATGGCCAGTGCCAGCAGAGTGATCACCAGTATCACTCCCCCTGACCCTCCATAACACTGGGCCTTACTCTCAAAGCATCTCCTCCTCTGTCTGCTGGGGGCTGGACACAGGCCGTGCACATATACACAAACACACATAAATAATCCTCTAAGAAATTCTGTCAAATTGTTCCGCTCATACACCTGAATCCATTGTATTCTCAGGACAATATGGGAGCTGTGGAAAACACTCACAAATGCTTGAATGTGTGACTTGGGGAACAACCACAGGTGATGGATACCGGGGGATGTAGTGTGGATGGGTGGGGGGTGTCAGGCCTGGACCCACGCCACACACCACCTCCTCATAGGCAATGTGGGGTGGCTGGGTGTGCACAGCAACAGAGTAGTAAGGAGGAGGGGGCTCGTTCTGTGAGGAAAAGACAGAAAAGACAGGGGGAAAGTAAATAACCAGTGAGACCAGCGACATTTTATAAATAAAATCCTTTAATGTTAACGCCAGTGTGATATAAAAAATCTTTGCCCATTATTGTGTCATCTGTTACCCTTGGAAACAAGACACCACGCTATATTTAATAGGTATAATAACATCAGAAGATAGAGGGAGGCAGATCACTTGTTAGTTGCCAAGACTAAGCACGTAGCCCATTGTCCTCCATGCAGTCCTAACACTATTATCAAGTCTATGTATAAGTCCACACCTGGGTAACAATAGCAAAATACAAGCAATGTATCCTGGCAACAGCTTCTGAAAGCTCAGGTTTAAAAAGATTCTATCTATATTTGGATTTTGGGGACAGCTCATAAATGAGAAATAGACTAAAAGGCTTTGATAGCCAGCGGTGGCACCAGTGCTTTTACCAAATTGGCTAAAGATCTGTATGAGCTCACTGTAAACGACTCATAATAAAGAGCCATGGTTAGTCCGACTCCCTGGTTAGACATTACCCCCTAACACTGCCAGTGATATCTCTCGTCTGTCTACCACAATGACTTGCAAAACTTTTCTTGAAGGTTTGTTCCACATTGTTTCATTGTTCAGACAAAGATAATTTGTGGACAATGGACAAAGTAGAGGTACTTTAAACTAGGATGCTGTGACAGAAAATACATTGACGGAAGGGTGAAAGAGAGCCAGAGATCATGTAAAGGACTGATGATTTAGCTTCTAGTGTTTTCACATGTTTGTACTGTATGTATTAATATTACAAATAAGTTAAAGGATATGTTGACCAATATAGTTCAACATATGGGAAATCCACTTTTCTTGACAAGAGTTAGATGAGAAAGTTGAGACCCTGTTGTGTCTTTATGCTAGCTAGAGACAGCCAGTAAGCTTAGCATAGGACAAAGACTGGAAACGGAGGGGCACTAAGAAGGTTATGGGTGGACAAAGCGGTTTCAAAAGACCATTTTTATTGCATGCACATCAAGTTTCAAAACACCCCTATAGGCAGCATAAATCCTACTTCATTGAAGTAAAATGGTAAGCTGAAATAGGTGGAGTAGCAAGTTCATCAGATTTCCTAGTACAGTACACTTGGATCATCTTGCATTCTATTATCATGGAACAATACAGAAAATGGTTAAAGATTAGGGGTTCATATGACATTGAAAAGGTCAACAATTCACTTAAACAATAATTATGGTAATATAAAATTACAAAGCTACCTGACATGAAACCATAAGTCAGGCCACTGCATCTCTTAAGAACATATAGTGACCTGAGCTTGACTGCAACCAAAACAAATCTAAAATATTCCTTCCGGTCCACAGAAAATATTAATTTCAGCTACGAACTTTAAATTCAATACTTTTTATGCTTATTAGTATGTCTCAGAGCTCTTTACAGTTTGTACAATATACAATATATTATACAATATATTGCCCTGGATAAGAAAACGCTCCACTGAAATTGATTATTTTTAAGTACAGATAGATGTCTGATGAAAACCATGTATTTCCAAATTTTTCACATGAACTGAAGGATTAAGTGTTACTTTATAGGTTAAAATCCACCTGCTTCTTAACCTAAATAAGCCATTTTAAAACTATGTGGATTATCTGAAAAATGCCTTGTCACAGAGCTGAAAACAGAGCTTTGTACTTAGCTCGTGAAAAGTTGATGGAACAGGATTGCAATATTAGGTAAATAAACGTGCCATGATCTAAAGTGTTTCAAGCAAATTGTAAAAGTGCTGCCATATAGAACCTAATGACAGAAACCATTTGAAGTTTGTTTAAGAAAACCTATGTTCAAACTTTCTTGTTACCTGCTGTTTGGCAAGTAAACTGAAACAACCTCTAACCTCTAAAACCTCTGATGTCAGCCTATAAATTCTGCAATGCACACCACTCTTCAAGCTTTGCAGACAAATTAACCCACTGAAACTCAAACAGACCAAACAAAGACTCAGATAAATAAGAACCACCATTCAGAATCAGATGAGTTGAGAGTGACAGGTGAGTATTGATTAAGCAAGAAGTTACAGCTATTGATTGGAGAAAGGCGGAAGTCAGACAAGAGGCCAAGAGACATATTATACATTATACATTGATACAATTGAACGACAAAGGAAGAACCTACCGGGTCATGCTTTGCCATCGGACTCAGTAAAGAGTGCAGAGTGGAGCTGAGAGCAGGTGGGTGGAGCTTTTTCACATCCAGGCATTTACTCAGTCACAGATCAGCAGTTAGAGCACAGTGGTGCCACATTAAACATTTTCTAGTCCTTTTTTCTCCACTGTGTGTTTGTCACCTACCTTCCCCCAAGCAACAACAGGTAGGCCTGCCTTCCCCCTCCCCGTTCCTGACTAAAACCTCCCAACTCCAGTTTCCATCATTCTCTCAATCTTTCATTCTTCTCCTCACAGAGACAGGCGTGCCCAGTGCTCCAGTTTCCCTCCTGGCTGACCAATTTCCGTGGTATCCAGAGACCGTCAAAGTTTGTATCACAGTATGAAGTCCCATTATGGCTCAAATGACTTGACTACACAAAGAAAATGTTATGTTGTATTAATATGCTTTCTTTGAATATCAACATGTGTCAGACATACAGTAATGTTTATTTGTTTAATTATCATTATGTTAAAATGACCTGTAGGCTTCTCTGTGGGCCCATGAGGCCGGCACTCCAGGAGTGCCATATATCTGTCACCACTGTGACGGTGCAAGACAAACAAGTACAAACACACACACACACACACACACTAATATTCAGTCGGCGCACATTTGCACATTTTGTGAAACAGTATTATTATGTTCACTACTATGTCACTACTATGACTGACAGCAACTAAGATATTGGGATCATCCCAACACACACACACACACACACAAATCTAAAAAGTGTTGAATAAAAAGCTTTTAACATTATGTTTTTACATAATGACAGACAGAAATGTCAAAAATGTTTCAACCATCCTCAGTCTCACCTACAATTCAATTCCAGTTTAATGCAAGATATATAATCTGTAAATTTAAATACTGGGAGGCGGGGTTTGTCACTGAATCCAGGAAATAAAGGAAATGATCAGTGTGTGTGCACATTTGTTAATGTGATACTATTTTAAAATGCTCACTCAGTCACTCTGCTTCTGTTTCAGGCTTCTACACGACATCCTGGCCATCCCTACAGTGGGACCTTTCTGCACACAGATCACAGAAGTTTTTTCTGGAAACTTATGGAGCTGCCTTCCTCTGATGTCATCTTTTTCTTCTGTGTTCAATTTAAAATCCACTTTTCAAACATTCTCTAGTTCCTCTTTCAGCCCATAATGTTTCTCCAGTTTCACATGTTCATCTTTGTTCCAATTGCTGTCACCTGTGATCCTCTACAATGTTCACCACTTTCATTTTCTGTTGTCATTACCATAATGTCCAATTGATCAGTACTTGTCAGGGTCTAAAAATCCAACAACTTTATTGTGTCTCTTTTATTAAGCTTCACTCTGCTTACAATAGTTTTCTTCTCGGTGTGTGCTTTTCCTGCATCTTTCACCTATGTGGAACAATTTAGCTTGCAGTAGCTGTGTGATAAGGGGAGACCTCTGCCTCTATTGACTTTGTGCCTGTTTTTGTGTTTATAATATATTAAACAATCATAAATATAGGGCACTGTGATGGTCTTGAACCTGGTTGAGGACCTTTGTGGCATATTTCATCTACTGTCATACTGAATGATATACTGAGTTTCTGAGAAGCATCATGAGATATTCATTATGAATATGTGTTCACCATGTAACACATCTAGAGGGTGATATCTTATACAGTCTCTTCCTATGTGTATGCAGCCACTGGCCACTTCTCACATAGCAAGAGACTTGTGAGAAAATCCCCCTTCCAAACAACAGCAGATGATCTCTGACATTTAAGTTCCCACTGCTCAGATTTAGTCAGCGGTTCTGTCTCCCAGCATGACAGAAACCAAAAGGCAACTCAAACTTTAATATCCATCAGTGTTTTTTGCATTTACCAGGAACTAAAACTTAAACAGTCACATGTGAAGAGGAGGTGAGAAAAAGGAGGGGAACTTAATGTCACATTAAGAGAAAAGTGCTTTCTCAGAATTGAAAGTAAATTTCTAGTACTGACTTATTGATGAGAGTTTATATAACGTTAAAAAAGATTTTCCCAGAAAAGGTCTGGAGAAAAATCTGGGTAAAGACTGGCACGATGTACTGTAAACAAAAGAGACAAGTGAGGTGGTCAAGTTCATTCAACAGTAAACACCCCTTTAGTATTAGACAATTGTGTTTTTAATCCATTTTGTGATGAATGTTCATTATCGGGCAGTAGGAAAATCCAGATGTGCAGGCCTATGTAAAAAATGTAGGCCTTGCACATTGTCTACGTATTAGCAATGTAATAGCAATACTGACAGTCAGGATGTGAAGGTATTTCTCTGAGAATGGTCTCTGGATAAATAGTTGTTTTCACATTTTGGAGAAATTACTTTTAGCCCACATTAAAAAAGAAACTCATAAATTACATATCCACCCACATTAACTTCTATAAAACACTTTTCCTTTCAAAATCTACAGATAACTGACAAAGATGTGTGTATGTCATTAAGATGAGGTGTGGAGATACAATTCCATGGTCACTGTGGTTTGTCGACATCATAGATAAGAGACAGACACTCATCTGATAAGTTTGTAATGAGGTTATGGCTCTCTTAATGTCACTTTAGTTAACATGAGTTTATAACTTACTTACAAGGCCTTTTAAGACATAAAATAAAAATCTTAATTTCAGCCACAACCTGCATACAAGACTCATGATGCATAGAGTTATGAAGAAATTATATGAAATAAAATCATGACTTACATCTATTAACAAATCATGTGCTGACTTACCTTTTGTTTCCCTTTATTCATGTTGGTTTTGCTTGTTAAACATATTAACTCACACTAACCCATCATTATCTGTATTTTCAGTTGTCCCTATCCTTCTGACAACCATCTTTACCATTGCACGCTTGGAAAAAAAATCACCTGCAATGGAGCCAACCACCTTGTGGTTTTTATAGACACACGTCATTACAGGAAAAGATTCAAATGCATGACTATAGTTTAGTCAAAAAGGCATGCACACACAAACAGATGCAAACAAAGACAACAGTGTGTCTGCTATTTGTTCGAGGGAATATTTTTCATAAACTAGGAAATTTAAATATTTAAAAAGGGTTATCCCTAAATGCTTCCCTTTCCGTTTGTCTGAGCTGTGCCAGCCCTCAACAGCAGTTCACCAAACACCATCTGCTTTGAGCATGGAAAGGGGAAAAGGAAAAGAGGAAGAAACGTGTTTAGTGAGAGAGGTGAGAACGAGGGACGAAACTCGCAACAGCGTCACTAATCTTGTCACAACAGGAAACACGTCATCTGTGAGGGAGGGGAGTGGAGCAAGAGAGGAAGGTATCTGTGTAAATTAAATCATTTCTTATTTCTGGCACAGATGAACAGTCACCACTTCAGTAAGAGAACAGCTGCCTCACTTTAGTCATCAATTATCTCAACTTTAATGTTAATCTGAACCATTACACAGAGTTGCTTAGGCTAAAAGATGTTTCTAAAGTCAAATTTTACTCACTGATGGAATAAGGGACTTTACTGGCGACAACTGTGTGGATTATGACTGAAAGATAAAACCTCTCCAGACACCAGAAATGGACATGAGCAACAAGACCCCACTTCTTGTCTTCCTGGTTATCTACATAAACTGTGTGTCAGGTAATTAACAACTTTATATTCGGGGAAATGTTTATGAGTAAACCTAGTTGTTTGAAACCTTTATTTTACAAATATTTCCACCAAAAAGGCAACATGGGAAAGAAAGAGAATTTTACACATTTATCGCAGATTTTTACACTCTGGCAAATACTTCCCATAGTGGAAATAGGTGAATCTTTGTTCCCTTCACTAAAAACCCACAATGTCATAAGATGATATGAACAGATCCCATGAGTGATTTGAAAGATTGCTGTATCAAAACCACACTTCCTTTTCTTCACCTGACCACATCCTTCAGAAAGCATTTCAGTAAAAAAAAATGTGTGCAGCTTTATAATTTTACATTTACAATTTGAGATCAAAACTGTACAAATGTCTCCTCTTTCTGCCATGTAATACAAAACTTATCTCATCTTAATTCCTGCTTTTTTTTCAGTGGCTAGACTGGACATGCCTCAGCTTAACAAACTGACGGTGAATATTTTGGATGGGGAGGTAATAGTACTTTGGAATCATCCTGTAGACGCTCCCCCAAACTCCAAGTACAATGTACAAATGGCAAAGTATGTTTAACTTAAAAATATCCATAATAACACATTCACTTCAGAGTTACAGTGTTCTGTACACCAACTTCATATAATTTGCAATTACATTTTTCTATTTACATTTATGTTATTCATGTCCATTGGTTTATATCATTTACCAGAGAAAATTGCTAAGTCTGACTTTTATTGAAATGTTGGATTTTATACAACTTTTTGTCATACACAAATTTTGATCCTTTCCTTTTGGTGACTGGTGTGTTTTCTGTCCTCAGGTACTTTGATGAATGGGCCATGGTGGCCAGCTGCACAGGGATCACAAACACCTACTGTGACCTCAGCAGCCATATACATGACTATGATGCTGGCTACAAGGTCAGAGTTAAGCTGGTCGCAGGAGATGATGAGTCTGAGTGGTCAGCCAAGAAATTTCTGCCAAATACAAGTAAGCATAGTTGTATGTTATGTAATAATTTAGGCACAATATAGGGTTGATTTCTTACCATTTTCTGTTCCTATAGGTGAATTGCAGCCTCCGTCCTTCACTTTGAGGGCTACTTCCAGCACTCTCACAGTTTATGTTCACGAAAAACCCATTCTAAAAAAACTCTTTCATTTTGGGGTCATCTACACCATCTACCTGGAGGAGAGAGGAGAATATACTAAGGTGGGCATTAAGTTTAAACACACAAAATGTGAAACAATGTCAGAAAACACAAGTCTGGGACAAATTGTAACAATCTTCAATTGATTGGCAAAGTTTTTACAACACAAGCAAATACATTAGACAGCAATGTTGTCTGTGAAATGGTTGTTAATCACTGCTACTAAAACATGTCTATATATTAAGTCAAACTCTACAACAATGCATTGTTTTCACATGCATTGTTGAAGAGTTAAACTACACTAAATTAAACTAAATAATAAAATACAATATTTAAACTATCTAATCTAATCTAATGTCATTACCTGCCTGACTGAACTTCTGAAACTTACTCATCCCAGGCTATATTGTACAATGTGGTTCATACTGTACAGTGCCTTGATCTGCATGGCATTTTAATTTTTACCCCATAGAATACCACAGCATACCTAAAAGATGATGTGGGAGAGGATCAGAGGACTAAGACTTTCAGTTCTCTACACTGGGGGAGAGAGTACTGTGTCAGCCTCAAGGTAGAGGGCAACGGAGCTCTCGCAAAAAGCAGTGTGTCCCATAAAGAGTGTCTGCTGCTACCAGAACAAGGTAAGAAAAACAATATAATGATGATGCACAGTTAAGAGACAGCAGTGTTGAACAGCAGTCAGACCCAACAATAAAATAAACATGAGATACAAATGTTAGTTGCTGCTAACAGGAATGGCTCACAGCTGACACAGAAGATATAAGGAGAAAAAAGTCACAATATGCAAAATAATAAGGTGGAAATCATCTTGCTATGCGATAGTTAATTTTGCCATGATGACATACACAGACTCACATTGTGAAAATAATAACCTACATGTAATAATCCTGAAATTAATAGTTTGACGTTTTGGGAAATATACTTTTTTGCTTTCATGCCAAGAATTTAATAACAAGATCAATACCACTCACATGTCTGTGCACTAAATATGAGGCCACAGAACAGCAGCTGGTTAGTTTAGCTTGGCATAAAGAGTAGAAACGGGGAAACAGCTAGCCTGGCTTTGATCAAAGGTAACAAAATTGTCCTCACAGTAATTAACACAACCTTGTTTGTGTAATCCTGCACATTTTTTTTTTCTACAGCGAATGACAAGAAGCACATTTTAAAATGTCAAACTATTCCTTTAAGCCTAAATTTAAAGTTTGTGATAAAGGAAGATTGTGTTGCCTTTGGCGAAAGACTTCCAATTATATCAACCTCACAACATGTTCTGTTTTTGTTACTTCCAGAATGGTTCATAACTGCTGTGTCATGCCTGTCTATTCTGGGTGTGTTGGCCTTCATTGGTATCATGGCAACCGCCTTCCAGTGTTACCTGAAACGTCCAGAGAAAACACCTGCTGCATTGGTATGTATATCAAATTAAATACTGGGACAAATTGCAGTTATGCAATCTTGTACTGTCAACTATGTGGAAAACAGAACCAAAAGTTGGCAAGAAGATAAAAAAAAGCAAAAGGAAATGACAGAGTTGGTTTTAAATACCCTCTTACATTCTTGATATTAGCCTTGCTGAGAGGGTTCAGCTGGTCATAACTAGCTTTGTTCCTAAAAGTGATTTCATAAAAACACAATGAATCACAGAATAACCTGTCTTCTCTTTTCACCAGAAATCCCCTGTAAGTGGCTGGCTTCCACTCTCTGTTAGAGAAGGTACTATGGAGGTTGTTCATGGAGGCAAAGGATGGTTCCTGTCCAGTTACAGGAGAGAAGTGAAAGACCCAGTGACTCATGTTACGGTAATAGAGGACAGTGAAGAGGAGGACAGGAGGTCGAGCATGGACAGTGGGGTCAGCATGGAATCCAACTCTGCAGCAAACAGCAGAGGAAGTCCTCCAACGAGACAAGAGGACAGTGGCTGTGGGAGCTTGGGAGGACCAGAGAGCTCCACAAGCAGTCAGACAGATTACCCTATGCAGGAAGGGAGGAGTGATACCGACATAGCTAGGAAGAGGGAAGATAGCGGGGTGGGGCTTGGCTGCCAGCTTGGTTCTCTTTCCATGAAACTGGATGAACAGGACAGTGGGTCTCTAAAGGAGGCTGTTGCTGGGGGTAATTATCGCAGCCAGAGCCACTCAGTAGTGCAGATCAATGGCAGTGATGATGAGGAGATGTTTAAACAAATGCTCCCGGGCTCAATTTTGGCAGAAGTGGTCACAGGCTACAGGGCTGGGCCTCAATCGTGTATCTGCTCAGGAGCAGGTCAATGCAGTTGGTGCCACAAACAAGGCCATTATGGAACTGAAGTTATCAAACAATACAAGACTATGTGTATAGACAATGGAATACTGAGTGGCAAATGTGATTTTGTGGACTCTTACAAAGGAGCGCTTACATTTTCAAGTTATTCTGAACAAATGCAAATGGACACTGTCACGATGGATGACTTAGAAACAACTTTTATACAGCTGGGGGAGACTTTCCCTCTGCTAACAGCTCTGTCACCGCTGCCCATAGTGGAGGGAGGGCATGACTTCAATATGAACAATGTGGCCCTCTCTCTTTGTGACGTACAGCTGAAAACTGACTGATGCACTGTAGGATGAAACAACGCTATTTATAAAAGCGTGCGCTATGCTGGAGCGATTATACTCCTTTTTCCCACTTGACCTACTGTTTCAATGATGAAATAGAAGCATGAGTTGGTATTTGGGAAGTAGAAATCCTCCAGTATTGAAAATCTGAAGGAAAAACTGGGAAACTCTACGTTGGAAACAAAGCAAGCAACAGGCTGTTATTGAACATAGGAAGTAAGTAGGTTCGACCACACAGCTGTTGGCTGTTAGCTGTTGGTTTTGAGTCTCAAGAGCTTCTAGAGACGACAAATGCAACATCAGAGATTATACAACCGTGTCTCACTGGGTATATATTTACATCTGAGTGTGCCGGAAGTGAAACTGCTGTGGGGAGGACTGCAGAGAAACGGTTTGACAGTTACGTGCTTTTGGACATTTTGCCATTTCTCCCTACCAACAATGACACTCTATGTCAGTAACCCATAAAATACTTGTGAGCCACTTTAAAGTAGATGGGTTTCTCATTTGTCACTAATGTTGTCAGATAACAACAATCATTTGGATATCAGCTGATGTCAAACAAAGGCAGAATTACGGAGTGAACATTTTTTCCCTCATTTTCAATGATGTGCAGGACCTTTTGCAACAGCTTCTTTTTAATGTTCTCTGACTCAGCAAGAGACATGTATGTGTCTTAAACTGCAGCACCGTCTTTCAGGTACTTCCCCATTTAAAATATTTATTAGATGTTATGAAAAACTATTTATTTGTTGTGTATTATTGTAAATACATATGACTTTGCTCTTCTACATGTGATTCAAATAAACTGTTTCACTGAAATCCTCTGTAAATTCCATACACTCAGAAAAAAAAAACCCCAAACAGTAAATAAATAGCACAGTGATGTTGATTTCAGAAACAATGACTCAAAGAAATAAGCAAACATGAGGAAAACCCTGAAACAACACCATACAACTGGAAAATAAACATTACATATAGCTTAGCTGTTCTTGGGATTCCCACATGTAAATTGTGTACAGGAACCAGGGCAGTGGTTTCAAAGCTTCTAAACTAAGAAACAAACACTTCCTCTTTCAGCTTCCACCATGTTTAAAAAAAAGTCCCGCTTCACCCTGATAGCAAAGCAAGTGAATATTGTCAACAGGGCTGAATTCTCAGGTAGTCAACATTTATCTCAGTGAAATAATAACTGTTGCGTAAATGTCTCTCTTTATTGGGATGAAGCAGATCCTTGGCAGCAGTAAGAAAATCATGTGACCTACTGTGCAGCATAAAGTACAGGGGAAGTGAGACAACTTTTGGCAAATCCTTCTTCGAACTGCAAAGTATCACATGTTACTAGTTTTACAGTACATGTCCACATGATTACCAAGTGTAGATCATAGTTCACACATCTTTTTTTTCATTTTTGGAGCCTTCAATCTGTGAACTTATGCCATGACACGTTGTTTTTCCTAATTCATAGTTTTATAGTTAGACCCAGATGCTTGTGTGGCAGTTGGTGCTAATTTGATTAACTGATTTGTTTGGTATTATTCAACACAATAAAGCACAATAAAAAACTGAAATGATAAGGGTCTTATAAGGTAGTTCCTGCATTTTTACCAAATTTTACCAAAGGCCATATGGCAAGGTACATATTCCTAAATACATTTATGCACACAAAGCACTGCAAACCTGGGGCAGGTATTTTCTGGGATTCTGTGCAAAATATAATGAAGCTGCCATATCTGGCAAGTGCTCTCCAAATACTTAAGGCCAACAGGATACATACACATTGCACAGAAAATAGGAGGAATCTGGTGCTTAATTGGGGGCCCTTTACAGTTTAATCTGGCCCGGTTACCCATGATAGTGTAATTCTATCACAGTTTATTTTGAGGACACTATTTTATTTAGAATCTGTCAAATTAAGCAGTGACATTAACTAAATCCTAAAATCAAATTACACTGAACAAAATTATATGTACATAAAAGGCCTATTTCTCTCAAAGGTTGTTCAGAAATCTGTGTTAGTGAGCACTTCTCCTTTGCAGAGATAATCCATGCACCTCACAGGTGTGGCATATCGAGATGCTGATCAGACAGCATGGTCATTGCACAGGTGTGCCTTAGGCTGCCCACAATAAAAGGCCACTCGAAAATGCTTGTGTCATTTTTGAGAGTAAAAGACCCCAATAACCAAGAGCAAAAAGTTGATCTGTTCGTTGACACCTGGCTGCATCACTCATTTCAGTCTATGGCTCTGGGCTGTAATTCATGCATATCCAATCATCAGCAACTGCCAGTAGCACAGCATGAGTTAATGCAGATTGTACACAGTCAAATGACATTGAAAATCAGCACAGCTGCAAGTTGTCGCCTAAATATGGATTCATCACATTTCAAAAATGAAAATGGCAACATTAGGCTATCAGAGAGGGCTACTGTGTGAACAAAAATTGCTAATGCACTGTACTTTTTGAAAAACAAGATGTGAATTTTGGAAACCAGAGTCAAAGTCATTTCTGCTAGATTAGAAAAAGGTCATGGAGGTTTTTACAGGAAGTGTTTTGTACTAGCCAGGCATTGAATTTGACTTTCATGACTAAGGCATTGTGACAACAGACTCAACCTTTACATTTTATGTGGCATAGCTCTAATATAACTATAAAGGAAGAAATGCAGAGAAAGGTTTTCAAACATTGCAGCCCTATAGGTGTATTATGTGAAATATTGCATCAGTACAGAGAAATCAGAGGGGGGAGTTTGAAGTCATCTTAAATCATTTCTATTCTGGTCATGAAAAATCTTTCTAACTTGTCTTGTGAGATATGACCTAAGTTGACCTTTATTCACCTTATTGTAGGCAGTTAATTTCAGAAAAAAAACATCATACACAGAGACATGTTTTGGTTTCATTAAAGGAAAAACTATGAGACATCGGTTCCACCAACCATAGAAAGTATCAAAAAGGTAGTAGATATGTGACTTTGGAGGGAAGTCACCTGCAGCTTACAAGAAAACTGATCTGCCTGGTTGCTGTGGTTGAGCTGCTGATATTCTGCCTTCGCCTCAAACGTTCTCACCAGCAGCAGAACACATTCATTTCCCTGTGGTGTGGGTGTGTGTCTGCACACTCAAATTCACACTCAAAAACAGACAAAAGTGAAATTGCAAGGAAGAACACAGTATTTCTAAATGTATATACCACATTATTTTTAGTTCATAATTTTACAATAATATTAACATGTACAACTTTGCATACACAGTAGCATGTAATGCCTCTCTATCCGTTTCAAGACAAAGTGGGCAACTCAAGACACAATTAAAAAGATGGCCAAGAGACAGTGATATGGTTCAAAAGCATGACATCACACAAAAACGTTAAAAGTAATGTAAAAACAAAACAAAAAAACACCATATCATAACATTGACTTCCCTTCTCAGTATTCAGGTTAAAACAGTAACATGAATTATAACAGCAAAATAAAAACAGGACCAGATAACATACAAACTAAAAACAAGATAATGCGTAGGAAAGTGGCAGACGAGGGGTGTGCCTTCCAAGGTGATTGCCAGAATCAACTGCCACCTAGTCAGCTGTCATTTCGTGTAGCTGCTGATGGAGAAAGGAGGAGGAGACTTCTTTAAGCTGACTTTGCTGTAGATAGAGAGATCAAACACACCAAGCTTACCTATACAACCATGAAGCAATTATACAAGAAGCAATAAAAGGTTGTATGTGAAAGGCCTGTAGAAAAATCCACTTACGTGAGCACTTTATCTTTCAATGACGGCTCTATAGAGGGATAAAAGGAGACAGAATGGATATGCATTTCTAAATAACAACAGCAAGACAGATTCATCATATTGTAGTCTTAATGTTGGTTGATGTTGTCCAGTGCCAACTATGTGCATGCCAGTTTTACAAGGTGAAAGTATTTTAAAGACTATTTTCTTAGGTGTAGTTCCTATACTACATGAAAAGTGTTCACAGGGGCCTTTAGTAGGGGTGTGACAAGACATTTGGCTCACGAGACAAGATGAGATTTTAACAGTATTTTTAAGAAGTCTTCAATGCCAAATTAAAGGTTCAGTGTGTAATATTTAAAGTTAGTAATTTAGCTGACCCTTTTATCCAAAGCGACTTACAATTGCTATATATCAGAGGTCGCACGCCTCTGGAGCAACTAGGGGTGTCTCCAAATCTCCACCCTCATATTTATGAGGATCTATTGACAGAAATGCAATATAATATACACTCACCTAAAGGATTATTAGGAACACCTGTTCAATTTCTCATTAATACAATTATCTAATCAACCAATCACATGGCAGTTGCTTCAATGCATTTAGGGGTGTGGTCCTGGTCAAGACAATCTCCTGAACTCCAAACTGAATGTCAGAATGGGAAAGAAAGGTGATTTAAGCAATTTTGAGCGTGGCATGGTTGTTGGTGCCAGACGGGCCGGTCTGAGTATTTCACAATCTGCTCAGTTACTGGGATTTTCACGCACAACCATTTCTAGGATAACATGGATCCATCATGCCTTGTTACCACTGTGCAGGCTGGTGGTGGTGGTGTAATGGTGTGGGGGATGTTTTCTTGGCACACTTTAGGCCCCTTAGTGCCAATTGGGCATCGTTTAAATGCCACGGCCTACCTGAGCATTGTTTCTGACCATGTCCATCCCTTAATGGCCACCATGTACCCATCCTCTGATGGCTACTTCCAGCAGGATAATGCACCATGTCACAAAGCTCGAATCATTTCAAATTGGTTTCTTGAACATGACAATGAGTTCACTGTACTAAAATGGCCCCCACAGTCACCAGATCTCAACCCAATGGAGCATCTTTGGGATGTGGTGGAACGGGAGCTTCGTGCCCTGGATGTGCATCCCACAAATCTCCATCAACTGCAAGATGCTATCCTATCAATATGGGCCAACATTTCTAAAGAATGCTTTCAGCACCTTGTTGAATCAATGCCACGTAGAATTAAGGCAGTTCTGAAGGCGAAAGGGGGTCAAACACAATATTAGTATGGTGTTCCTAATAATCCTTTAGGTGAGTGTGCATAACTATGTTTCCAGACCACTAGACACCACTAGATAAGTAAGTTAGCAAGTTAGAAAGTGTGTTTTTTTGCTTGTAATTTGGGTGAAATGAACTCATCCAAGTTCTACTCACTTTTTTTCTTGCAGCACTTTTTGCATTTGTGCTTGCAGCAGAATTGTACAATGGCAATAGTGAAGAGAATCGCCAGGATCCCAAAGCCCACAGCAATCCCAACTGCCGTTGAGTTTAAGCTGCTCCCTGCAAATACAAATACAGAGAGGTGATTAGATTATAGCCGTAGCTTACAAGCACTTAGAAGAACAATAAACAAGTCAACTGAATGACAAAAAGGGTACACTATTCCTGATATAAATGATTATAGACTGAAATAGTCATCTGGCTGACTGCCTGGGCCTAATTAGATCAATATATATTTGTTCATTATGAATAAATATTTACTCTGATGAAATGAGATTGGGAAATCAATCTCTGGGAAAGATGCTGGCTCTGCCTTCATTAGCAGTCTTTGGAGAGACACTGAACTGACAAGTAAGGAGGGGGTATAAGAGACAAACATACAGCTGCCACATGACATAAACAGCTGGGATTTTTTGATTGTATTGTCCTTTAGTTTTCTCTCTTTCTGTCTCCTGATACGTAGTTTTCTACGTACATATCAGGAGATGGAGAACTATTTACTAAGGAACTTTCTTATTTTGATTCCCTCTGTCTTAGCTTACGTTTCAAGCAGCGTCTGCACTGTATACGTACATGGAGTAATTACAATAGTGCCTGGTGGCCATGCAGGTTTTAATGACTTTCAAAAAATGTTCTAAGTTATCAGCTAACACAATGACAATCTATTTATAGTTAAAGGAAACAAGCAGAGCTCAATGACCCAACCCACCAAAGCATTAAAAAACACTGAACCCAAATAAGAAAACAGCAGGAACAGCAACGTTGTAAAAAACATAAATCTGAATCACCAGCACATTTTTAAAAGTTGTTTGTGTGCATCACAGTTACTGTAAACATTATTTAAATCTCAACTGAAAGACTCTTACCGCCATTCCCCATAGCTGACAAGTCAGGATGAGCAATATTATGCCTTGTCTTCTCCCCTTTTCCCTGTCCGTTTGGTGTTCAGCTCTGTCACTCACTTACTTTACTTTACATCAGTCTTAATTAAATGATTTGTCTTGACTGTGAAGAACCAAAACAGAGTACTCTCTCTTCTCCGTCTTTGTCTGCATCTACCAGTCCATGTCCCCATACCATTCATTCTTTTAAACTAGTCCATCTTCTTAGTCTGTTCTGCCTGTTTTGCACCCTCCCCCAATGATCAAATGTTAGAACAATGTGGATCTGACATCCTGTCATTCTCACATGGACAGTCATGCTTAGCAACCCTTGAACCCTTTGAAACTGGGCAGTGTAAGAACTTTTCACAAGACGTTCACCCTTTTGTATGACTGTCTCACTGAGATCCAACAGGAGACTCAAACACAACTAGAAAATCTACAACATTGTGGTCTTGTCAAGCGCCAGAGCAACTATCTTGAACCTTGACTATGGATCTGCCCTTTTTTTGTCCCTCATGTTTCAATAGCTCCCAATGGCAGCTTCTCTTTTCCCCTCTTTAACAAATTATTAACAGACAGCTAGGTAACAACACCTGAATCAGGTGGTGCATGGGGCCTCCTGTTGGATAACTGAGTTATTACACTCCTTGATTGTCAATGTTGAAAATAATAGCACAAACACAAGATGAAACTACAGTGTTGGGCTGGAAAGAGTACCGAAACAACTGACTCAAAGCAAAGTACTCCTATGTCTCACTCTGACTCACAAAAAACTTGTTTAAAACATTACAAATCCAACCAGAAAGAGGTTTATTGCCAAATAGTATTTCACACATGAGGAATTTGCCATGGTGATTAGGGGGTAGACATATATAATATTTACATCCTATTTACATGTGTAAACATTTACAGGATATATTGTAAAGGGGGTGGGTGGGAGGTGACAACCAGTGTCAGTGTCATACTAGATACTTTCTTGCTGTTGAATTTGAAGGGTAGACAGACTTTCTTGAGTGTCTCCCTCTGACAATTCTGCATCACTGAACGCATAGAATTACCCACAATCTATAGTTTGGAATATATTGTGGAGGGGGAGGGGGGTACTGTAGTTACTTACCAAATACAGAACTGAATTAAAGTAAAAGGCCTGCATTCCCTTTTATGCTTAAGTATAAATTGTGTCTCCCTCTCAGCTGTTCATGGTTGTTGTATGAACCTCTGAAAAGTGTACTGAACCTTGTAGCTAGCTAGTCTAACAAACTCTGGAGTTTTACCATCAAAAGTGGAAAACATAATGTGAGAACATATAAACATAGTGGTTGTCATGCAATGATTAGCAATCACTACGACACTAATGTACAAAACTAATGTATCTTAGTAAGTAGTACCATTGGAAAAGTTGTAGAAAGACAGGACTAATCAATGAGTTCCGAGGGCCCATGGTTTCCTGTCATTTAATCTGTGTAGGCGATTCACACTCTGACATCACCAACCACACCCAATGTGTTGAAGGCTTACTTCCATTTTTCTAAAATTTATCTGTCAAGATGGCTCTGTACATTACACTGATATTATGTGACTAAGTTCTTGTTCTGGTAAATACTTCTGGTGGCCAGAAATTAAAATGCCTTTGACGCCTCTACATTCATCTGAAAGTTAAGTTGGATCCCCCTTCCATCCACCACATGTACAGAGTCAGCAATTCCTTTTTACCTTTCTTCCATTGTTTATATATTTATCTACTTTGCACTTTGGTCCAGATTGAAACTGACTGGATTGCCATGAAATTTTGTCCAGACATTAGTGATCCTCTGACTTTTCCTCAAGTGCTGCAGTGATGTTAAAATTATAATTTTGGTTTATGAAGAAATACCTGCAAAACTAATGTTGTTGGCAGCTAGTTAGCAGCAGTTAGCTGACTTGATAGTAAGTAAGTAAGTAGTAAAGCTATCTGCCCATCAGAGGAATCACAGATATAAATCACAGAGTTGAGGCAGAGGAGCAGAGGAACATCAGATATAAAACCAGAAAAAATGATCCACATTCAGGAAAATCAGTGAATAAAGTTGTGCTTTCAAACTTTAATCAGTGGTCCCCGATCCCACAAAATCTAATTTTTCAGCAGTCATAAAAATTAAGAAAGCTTTTCATTGGACGCTAAATTAAATTAATGAAGGAAACACAGTGCAGGATGATTCATCAACATTTTCCAGGAAATAACACACTAAAATCTCAATAAGAATACCTACAAAACAAATTTTTTTGTCTTTGATGGGCCAGATACTGCCATGTGTCATAGGCCTATAGGCCCACTGCAAGACATAGCCTATCATATATAAAAACATTTAAACATTGATTTAGATTTCAGGTTACAATACTTTTATTTTGTGGTACTTGGATTATGTTACTGATTACATTTTGTAACAAGTATAGTAATTGTACCGGATTACATTGTTAAAGTTACCCTCCCAACCCTGATTTTGGACACAACCTTAGAGGCTGCACCTGGCAATGAAAAGCATTTTGGGTGACCAGATTGCAATGAGATAATGCTTGATCACGTGAAAATACAGGTGTACATGCACCAGGGAGTTATTAAGGACGGATTGTGACCCGAATGGCAGAGCTATGCCAAAACAATTGTGGGTTTTTTACATTTTTTACTTTCTTCACAGCCGAAGCACTGAGACTGAGTGTCTGATTTGCTACGGAACATTAAACTGAATTTTTGAAAATTACCCATGGAAAAGAGGTAATTTTCTATTTTTTTAATTTTCTAATTTACTTCTCTTTAGCAAAACAACCTCATATACTTAAACACAGGCATTCCCTGACAACCCAGTTTTTAACGTCACAATGCTATGAACTGTGGGCAGTTCCCTCAAGTACTGTGCAGAGATGTGTTCTTACAGAAAGTGTGCATTAGGGCTCATAAAGTCTGTGAGACAGCCCTCATGCACTTCGCGATTTGACTCGGGCAGCCCTCAAAGTCCGTGAGTGTGGAGATTGGGATTCAGCCATAGTGACCACATGCAACACCAGTGTGAATGCAAATGCGTTGTCTATCCGCAGTCTCCGCACACATGGTCCGAAATACGTAGCTACTGGCCGCAGTCTCCCGTAAATAAAATCCAACAGTCTGCCTACAGTGTTGTGCATAAACGTGCTTAAACCGCAGACTATTTAAACAACAGCGCTGATCATTGAAGGTGCTAATGTCTTTGGTGAACTGACGTGTCCATTTGTGAACATAAAACTTAAAAGTAGAAGTAGCATTCCTTGATATGGATGCACTGAAACTTTTTAAACATCAATATGACAGTAGATTAGGCTATAGGTTATGTCATATGCCCTTTTGTGTATTTCAGGTGAAGAATCTCACATATTTATTTCTTGCAACAAATAAGAATGTGACAGGCTGGTCGTGACCAGCAGATATGGCAGCCTACTAAATGAAGACCTGTTTGGGAGCTGAAAGAGACGGTTCTCTGAAAGGAACAGAGCCATAAGATAGGGCTCCCTTCAAAGAGCTGGAATCCCCAGTTCAAACACATGTTTTCTTCACAATCAAGTTTGTCAATAAAAGCCACATTCATTTGCGGTAAACCTAAATATTTAAGGGTAATGATTCCTTTATTTAGTTTAGCTGGTGCCATAGAATGGATTATTTATCTCCCTTAATTAAAAATGAGACAAACCCTGCATTAAAGCTAGGGTAAGTATCTTGGAGACACTAGCAAGAGATGCTGGGTTTTGAAAATATCCAAACAAAAAATCCCACCCACTCCCTTCTGTCCTTCCTGCTTCAAATCCACTCCCCCAAAACACATTTTAATGCACAGTGAGTGCACAGGCAGACAGGCAGGTAGGCCAGCCAATACATGCTTATTACAGCCATGAGACCGCCACAGATACCAGATGTTTTTCCAGTGCATTTGATTTATTGATTGCTGTAGGGATGTAAAGAGGATTTCAACAAATATAACAAAAATGGTTCTGATATAAAATAATGAAATACATGAATAATGTCATATATTGTCTTTGATGATAGGCCTAATGATTGTTTATTTTGGTGTCTATAACTTTTTCCTGCTTTCTGAAAAAAATATTATGAATTGTTTCTTCAAATAATTATATTTCCTAGTTTTTTAAAGCTCCATTTAAATTCATTCCCTT